GGGTAGGGAGGAAGGAAGAAAGGAAGGAAGAAGTTAGGAAGGGTCTCATGAAGCCTCGAACTTCCGATTCTCCTGCTTGCTTCAGCCTCCCTGATGCCAGGATCACAGATGTGTACCACCATTCCTGTGGTGTGTACTTATCAACATACTTAAAGGGGGAAAGAAGGGCTCTCAAGAGACCCAGAGAAGGCTTCTAGAATCCTCTGCGAGTATCACCACAGCTGCTACAGGCTCTGGGAGTCTTTCCCCGAATGTGACCCTGCAGTGGCAGACAGGACTGCTCATGGAGCTCCTGGACAGCGCGAGCTCAGCTCGCTTGACATCAGGGACCGTTGTGCTCAGGTGGGTTCCTTTAGGGAAAGGTGCAGCTTCGGAGGGGGAGTCTGGGGAAAGCCTGGCAAGCACGTGCCTGTGTGTGCCTGCACCATGCACATGTAAGAACACACATGTGCACATGCTATACAAACACACCAAGGAATTAACCTCCAATACGTTAAAATTTGTATTTATTGGAGGAGGGTTGAGACAAGGACTCTCTGTGTAGCTTTGCTTGGCCTCAAACTCACTTTGTAGACTGCTGGCCTTGAACTCACAGAGAGTTGGCCTGCCTCCACCTCCCGGTGCTGGGATTAAAGTCATGACCACCATGCCAAGCTTAAAAAAAGAGAGAAAAGAAAAGAAAAGAAAGAAAGAGAGAAAGGAAGGAAGAAAGAAAGAAAAGAAAGAAAGGAGAAAGAAAGAAAGAAAGGAAGGAAGGAAGGAAGGAAGGAAGGAAGGAAGGAAGGAAGGAAGGAAGAAGGAAAGACCAGTTAAACACAAGAGTCATGTTTGTAAGTGTCATAGTTCCCAAAACTGCAACACCAAAGTCAACTTATAAACCTGGAACTCAGAACAAGAACCAGGGCTGAGCAGGGTGGAAGGACTGAGGGGAAACCCCTCACCCCACTCCCACTCTCTCCTGGGAGCTGCCAGCCTGGCTGGGTTGCACTGGGCCCATCATCCTTCCCAGACCTGTTCTCCCTGAGCCCCAGGGACAGTGTGCCAACTCCCCACTGTCGCTAAGGGTGCCGGCCCCCCCCCCCGCCACACCCTCTGTACAGCCCTGTTGGGGAGGGGTGCCCCAACTTCAGGGCTCCACATGTGCTCTGCCGTCTTAAAGCCTCTCCAGGACAGCTCTGCCTCTTAAGGCCTTCCCTCACAACAAGTCAAGTCCCGCTGTGATGATTCTCCTTATCAGCAGAGCCTGAATTCTGGGCAACTGTGGCAAGCTGGGTCCCTGGAGTGGTTCGGTGTCATCTGGTGGTGAGCCAACCTTCCAAAAGCACTTCAACACTACCTGGCACCCCCTCTGTACCCAGCTTCTGTGAGCTCTGTGATGTAGATAAAGCAAATCATAGACTGAAAAAATCACAGGGCTGGCGAGATGGCTCCATGGTTAAGAGCACTGGCAGTTTCTTCCAGAGGACCTGGGTTTGATTCTTAGCACCCACATGGTGGCTCACAACCATCCGTATGTATCTCTAGTTCCAGGGGACCCAACACCCACTTCTTCCCTCGGCAGGCTCCTGGCATGCACGTGGTACATATATATACACACATAGGCAAAAACACCCCTACACGTAAATGTCCTTTGAAAACTTTAATATGGGTATGTGTGTGCAACAGCACATGTGTACAGGTTAGAACAACTGTTCAGTCAGTTCTCTTTCCATGGACGTGGGTTCCAGGGACAGAACTCAGTTGTCAGGCTTGTGTGGCTAGTGCTTTACCCAATGAGCCTTATTGTTGACCTGGAAATATTTACAAGAAAAATCTGGGCTGTGAGGGTTGAAGAGATGGTTCAGTTAAGAGCATGTACTGCTCTTGCAGAGGACCCAAGTTCAGTTCCCAGCACCCACAAGCATTTGTTCCAGGGGATTTGACACCCTTTCCTGGACTCAGGAAGGCACATATGCATAATAATATTTTTAAGGTTGTATTTTTATTTTTTTATTTTTTGGTTTTTTTCAAGACAGGGTTTCTCTGTGAAGCTTTGCGCCTTTCCTGGATCTCACTCTGTAGACCAGGCTGGCCTCAAACTCACAGAGATCCACCTGGCTCTGCCTCCCAAGTGCTGGGATTAAAGGCGTACGCCACCACCGCCCAGCAAAGTTGTATTTTTAATTATATGTATGTGTGTGTGGATATGTGCATGAAAGAGACACTCAATCTCCTGTGAGCTGTCTGATATGGATGCTGGGAATTGAACCAGGTACTCGAAGAGCAACCAGTGCTCTTAACTGCTGAACCATCTCTCCAGCCTAACAGCATGTATGTAGCCTTTATCTGAGACTACGTGTGGCCTATAATCCCAGCACTTAGAAGGATCTCTGCAGGTTGAGAGCAAGCTGATTGGCATAGCAAGCTTCAGGCCAGCCAGGGCTATGCAGTGAGACCCTATCTCAAAACAAAATCCCTCTATCTGTACAGAACACATATAGACTCTTCTCTGTCATCATCCCCTAACATAACACCATTTATACAGTATTTACTTTGTATTATTAAAAGTGATCTGGGGCTGGAGATGGCTCAGCAGTTGAGAGTACTTGCTCTTCTTGCAGAGGACCCAGGTTTGGTTCCCAGCACCAACTTGGTGGCTCACAGCCATCCATAGACACATATAAGGTGCACATATATACATGCAGGCCAAACACCCATACACATAAATCTCTAAAAAGTAATCTAGGGCCGACGAGAAATCTCAAGCTGGTAGAGGCACTTGCCAGTAAGCCTGACAACCTGAGTTTGACTCCCAGGACCCATACAGTGGAGGCCTCCAACTTAAACAAGTTCTTATCTGACTTTTACACTCACCATGACATACCCTCCCCCAAATAAATGTAAGAAACTGTAAGGGAAAGTAATCCAGGAGACCTTAAATGTTTGGGAGGCCATGCTGGGTTACATGTAGTTCTCCACCATTTCATATGAGGGACTTTAGCACCTGCAGGCTTGGGTGTCTGCTGGGGGCCCTGGAACCCGGGAGAGGGTGGTATGAACTCCCCCGGAGCCTTACGATGTAGGTACAGGGCCTGGGTCAAAGCAGGATGAGGCCTCGCACCCCCACCCTCGCACCCCCACCCTCGCCCGCCCCCATGGTCTGGAAAGGGCTGAGCACTAAGCTGGACTTGAGGCACAACCACAAGATGGAAGAAGAAGGGGACATGAGAGGGAAAGGGGTCCCTTACCCCCAAATCTAGTTTGTAGTTCTTATTGTCTGCATGGAGAAAAATAAAATAAAAACTGACAGACGAGATTGTGGCAGAGAAGTTCCTTCTCTGAGAAATGATCTACAGATGGGTCTCCTGGCTTGCCTGTGTGGTCTGTGGACATTATCAGCATGCCCCTCTCCTTAAACCTGAGCAATGTGCTCCAGAAACCACTGCACCATTTGCAAACAGAATTCTGAAGATGAGAAAACAGTAAACCAGTTTGTGTATTTTACTTTCTTTAAACAACCTTTTGTTTGAAGTTGGATGTGGTGGCACACACCTTTAATCCCAGCACTATCAAGCCAGAGGCCAGCCTGGTCTACCTATGAGCTCCAAAACAAGAACTGTGTTGAGAGTCTCACTATGTAGACCATGCTGCCTGTGAACTCATAGAGATCCATCCACCTGCCTCTGTCTCCCAGTGGCTAAGACTGAAGACGTGCCACCATGCCCAGCCTACACCGAACCTACTTTGTAAATGACTCTGAGCACTGTGACTTTAAAAGCCACACAATCACTCACACAGCTACTGTTAAGCCCCAGAGGCCCATCCCCTTCCCTTTCCTCTGAATGTCCAGGCTGTCTCAGCGTGTTAAGACCTCTGATTGCCATCTCTACTTAATAAACCCAGCTCTGTCACACGGACTTATCCTGACATTCCTTTCCGCCCAGCAGTGAAGATGCTGGGATCACATGAGCGGAGGTCCAGAGGCAGCCAACTCCTCATGCTCCAGGGCCAGGGTCAGGCTGCCAGACCAGCCACATGGAAGGCGCCGGGTGAGCCACGGGTGGGTCCATCTCCATCTGCCGAGCTTCCTCCCACGCCTTCTAGCACTGTAGCGGAGGTGGTGACCCCTTCAGTGGGGGCGACTTTCAGAGACAATGTACCTGTAAACTGAACGTGGCCTTATTTGGGCCCATGCAGATGTAAATATAATTCCCATTAGGCTCACTGGATTATTTGAGCTCAAGTTTATTCAAGTCAACTTTTTGGGGTTGTCCTGTATCCGCGTCTGTCCGGAGGCTCCAGGTAGTAAGACAAGACTACACTGAGGGGATAACGCAGAACTTTCAAGTCTGCCCTTGACATTGGCTCTATGGGCCCAGGAGGCAGGTTCATCTGTCCAGCGCAGAGCTGTCTGTCCACCCCAGAGCACCTGAGTGCACAGGGCCTGCATGGGGGGAGGGGGGAGATATATGGGCCAATTACCTGGCCTGGGTGACCAGTGACACCCTTTCATCCTGGAATTTCAAAACACATATAGAAAAAAAGGTAGAAACCTTGGGTCCTGGAGCACACAATCCTAAGCTGCCTCGTGACCCATGGCACAGCAGAATTCATCTTAGGCAACTGAAAGGAGTTGAAGGGGGGACCTGAGCCCGGTCACAGGGGCTGACATGGGAGGAGCATGGCCCAGGGACCCCTTGAGCCCTGGAAGGCCCTTGCTGAGGAAGAACACTACTGCACGGGGGCAGTTTTCAATCACAGTCCTGAGGCTGGAATGAGGGAACATGGGAGCTTCTGGGAGCCCCATCTCCAGGCAAAGCAGGCCAGGGCTGACTGGAGCCAGGCCCCGCCTTATTCTTCCTCTAGGGGGCAGCACTAGCCACCTCAGTTATTGCATCCCTAAAGAGATGGTTTTTCCTAAGGGAGATGTCACCCCGAAGCCAGGACACATGCCTGCCTTTCTCCCTCCACCTCCTCCATCCTCTTTCCCATTCCCTGTTCCCCACAGAAGTTCACACAAGTCAGGAACAAAAAGCCAACTCTTTATTTACACTGCTCTGTACATTACAGGTCTCGGAAGGTGTCTGTACTAAAAGCCTGTTTCAGGAGAGAACAGGCTGGAGGCAAACAGTTCAGGCCTAGGACTCACCCCTTCCCCCTCCCTGGGGCCTAGAGCGGACGTTCCTTTCCAGGCCCAAAGCTAGGGCCATTCGCAATGACTGGCTTCTGGAGCAGAGCCCCAGATGCAATCCCTGGAAAATCAGAACCTGTGGCTTCTTTCACCTGGTCCCTAGAAGGCCCAGCCCCAGAGCATGAAAAGCTGAAGCCGGGAGCCAGCAGGCTGTGTGTCCTCAGCGCACGCTGTCCCATCCAGGTCCTGACATCAGTCTGGTGATTAATGGCACTCTGGCCTGAGCACCAGCAGGTAGGGAAGGGCTGGACAGGTGATCATAGCAGGCAGGACAGTAGCAAATGACTTCCTCCAGCACACGTGGGGGGAGACACCAGACACAGTGGCCCTAAACCCAAATGTATTGCAAGCACTGGAAACCACGTGGCTGGGGCTTCCTCCAGAAGAGCCATGCATGGAGCCTTGCAGACCTGCAACCTCCCTGCTGGGGCCAGGTGGTCCGTCTTCTATGAACATCCACATCCACACAGAAGAGGTTTGTGGGAGAAGCTGGTCTACACAAAGCTGCCCTTGTCTGGGACGCAGGGCTTCTAAACTAGCTGCAGGTACACGGTGACTACGTGGTTCCTATGCTGAAGACTGTAACAAAAGATCCTGTAGAAAAGTTACCAAGTCAACAGAGGCTGGGGGACCTATGGGGAAGCGGGCCTGACTGGGGGTGGGGGGTGGGGGTAAAGGGTCTGCCAGCTGGCCTCAGTGGAGGCACATGGTCGCACACATGAGTACACACAGGACTGGGGAAGACCGGTAAGGGGGTGTACAAAAGGGGCAGCGGGTAACAGAAACCTGTGTGGTGGCCACAAGGGGGGAAAGGCACAAGGACCCCAAACCATGCAGACAAAACCCAGCCTGTGCAGAACAGGGAAGCAGACAGTCCCGACAAGAACGAGGCTGAGCCGGCAGCAGACCTTAGGCCTGAAGGAGAGGTGGCCCGCGATGCTGCCCCCAGCTGGTAGCCCTCGGGCAGACATCCCTACATTACAGTCACAACGGGAAGAGGAAGGAGCCCACAAGGAAGGTACGGCAAAGACACCCAGCTCCTGGTGGATAGGGTGACAACGATTGTCACCTTGCTATGCTTTCAGAGACAGAGCCTTCTAGAAGTGCCTATTTTCTTAGCGGAGCAGCTAAAAGATGACAGAGCCACAGAGCTGTCCTGCCCTGAAGCTAAGGCAGGCTGTGATGCCAACTCCACTTTCCGGACACACCCATCACATGCACATTCCACATGGGAGTCAGGAGAGGGAGGTCCTGGGAAGGTTCGGCCACTCCAACCTGAGGCCCCTTGGTGAGAACATGTTAGTGATGCCAAGCTGAGGAGCCACCAAGAGGCATGTCCTTGGGCCCCGGGAGGGGTTGGGGGTAGGAGAAAGATTGGGGAGAAGGGGCAGTGTTGAAGCCCTAGAGCTTCACCTGGACTTACACAGAGTCACTGGGCATCTGTCAGGCTGGTCTGCTGACTGCCCTAAACCCTTCCCAGATCCCATCAGTCATGTCCAGAGACAGGCGTCCATTTGCCAACGCCCCACAGGAGAGTAAGTCCTCCTGCTTCCTGGGGCCTTGTAGTAGAGCCTCCACATCCCCTGGGAGCCAAATGTGTAACGACACCCCCTGGACCATCAGAACCAGTATGGATCACAACTCAGACTAGCCACAGGACCATCACCTCGAGTCTCCATGGTGTGAACTGGGTGCTGATTTGACACTGACCGGGAAGTCACTGGGACACCCTGACTCCAGTCAGACAAAACCCACAGGCAAGTGACCAGAGCACCTGAAGCTGCCCTCGGGGCCCAGCTCTCAACCATCTGCCCCCACTTTGCAAAGAGCCGATACCCAGGAGAAGCCGGAACCTGCTCTCTGTGACTCCAGGGGTCCCAGGCAGGGAGCCATTAAGGGACACAGACTTCCAGGCTAGTGAGGGCAGCAGGACTCTCTCCTGGGGCAAGGACCACTCAGTGGCACAATTACCAAAGCCAGCCAGCCATCTTCTGGTCACCTCAAAGGCAAGCTTCTCCAGCCCTGCTTGAGCTCGGAGACATTTCATGTGGCGTCTCTACCTGAGCCTCCACCTTGAACTGTGCATGGCCAGTGCCGGGGAGGACAAACGCCGACGAATGTGGTGACCCCCGCCACCAGTTCAACGGGACCTCAGAGTCGGTCCGATCCTCAACCTCCTTTCATGCCGGGGACGAAACCTCACACTAAGCACCCGACCACTGTGCTACATTCCCAAGCCTGCCATTGTATGTGTTTTCAGAACCTCCTCCCGTGACACCAGCACACCGACAAACTGGCAAACCCAGTCTCAGGCCCTGGTGTTCTGCTTGGTTCTTGAGTTTTGTGTTTTTAGTGTGTCAGAAATAAAATTTTAAAAATGCAATTTCCTGCCGGGCGGTGGTGGCGCACGCCTTTAATCCCAGCACTCAGGAGGCAGAGGCAGGTGGGTCTCTGTGAGTTCGAGGCCAGCCTGGGCTACAGAGTGAGTCCCAGGAAAGGCTCCAAAGCTACACAGAGAAACCCTGTCTCGAAAACAACAGCAATTTCCTCTGTAGAATCTCAAGGGAAGCTACCAGTTTAAAATCAAATCTAGCCGAGTCAACGCTAGAAGGAATCATGTGACACAGGAAGACATTAGCCCATTCTGTTTGACTTCTAATGGAATGTGAGGATGGTTTAGCATCACATAAAAAGGGCGTCCCCTGCATGGCCCCCAACCTGCTGGGATCTTGGCAAGTTACTGCTGACCCTTCCCCGAGGGAGCTGTCCAGTTTGGCAAATCCAACACCCCTTCACAGGACACTTAGCTAAATTAGTTATCACCTGGGGCATTCTTAGAACATTCCAAGGCCCGGGCCACACCTGTACCAACTGTTAGAACACGTAAGGATCAGAATATTAAAAAGCTCCCGAAGCATCAAGTACGTCATGGAACATCGCGATTCTAAAAGCTAAAACCACTTGTTTGTCTGTAATCCCAGCACTCTGGAGGCTAAGGCAGGAGGATGACCTTGAATTCCAGGGCAGCCAGAGCGACAGTGTAAGACCCTGTCTCAAAAAAGAAAACAAAAACCTACTGCCACCACTACAAGAGACAATAAACACGATCTTAGGCCAAGTGGACCAAGTTTTCGGAGTGTATTCTGGCTGAGGAAAGGAAGAAGGCTGGCTGAGCCTGAGGTGTGTTGTATGGAAGCCAGCCCCACCCTCGGAAGTTCCTCTTCCAGAGGCCTACAGCAAGGGTCCAGGTCCACGGGGCTTCCAGACTTGCCGTTTCCTCCAGGAGTCCATTCTTGCAGCCCACCGTTGGCCAAAAGCCTCCCCTTCCTGGCATTATGCTGTGACTCTGGCCTCTGTGGCCTTCTCTAGGAACTTACACACCGTGACACTGGAGGCCCACACAAGTTCAAGTACAGAACACTCATCCCCGAGGCAGCCCCTACAGACCAGGACCGAGACTCACCTGGCCTCTGCCACACTCCTTCCAGCGTGGCACCTAGACCAACCTCAAGTTTATCTTCCCTTCATGTCCTCAAGACTCCCCACCTAGCCTTTCTCTATTCCGTCTTCCCAGACCCCAGGGAATGCCCAGAGACCTGCGCCTCAAGTCAAGCCTTCCCCTCTTCCCGATGTGGCTCAGCCAGGCAGCCCAGGGCAAGGCAAACCACCCACCATCTACGCAGCACCAGACAGCTCTGTGCGCGTCATTAAAACGGATCTGAAAAGCCAAGGAAAGCAGAAGCGAGCCGACTGAAATCAGACTGGCCACAGCCCTGTCTCTGCCAAGCAGGGGACAGGCTCCGGTCCCCTCCCCTTTACCCTCAACTGCCCCCCCCTTCTGCTCACTAGCCTCCCCAACATGCCCAAACCTTCCTTCTTACACAAGATGTGCTTAAGAAAGCAAGCGGAAGGGAAGACTTAAGACCATCCACGTTTATCTGGGCTGGAGATAAGGAAGTCAATCACGAGCCATATAAGACTCAGATAAAATGCAACAGCCCAGATGCCTAGAACAAAAGATTGCATTCTTAAAAAATCCAGGGGAGGAAAGGGGGGCCTCCCACCATGTAGTCACAGAACGGAAGACCAAGGTTGCTCCACAATGTTCCCCCCCCCCCCACCAGGAAGTCTGCTAACAGAGGGACCAGATCCGGGTGTGTCTGAAAAACCGTAAGAAGGGGTGTGGCTACCTCCCCATAGGAGTCCAGACTCGGCCTTAGAAACACCTCCCTAGGCTTGCCCTCACCAAGGCACATCTGTCTTAAGATGCAGCCATGGGAACACGTCTCTTCCAGGCAATCGCTCCTTTTGGCCCCCAGTGTTAACACCTGTCTTGGGCTCTCCACCCTTCTTCTTGGCCTTTCTTCTACCCCCAAGTGAATGCTGTGTGTATTTCCTGTCTTCAAAACAAACTGAAGGCCAACCAGAAAGGGGAGGTAGGAAACCAAGGCTGGAAAGGGCACAGAAAACTCAAAGGACTCAACCCAGGGGCATGGACAGTGCACGCAGCTGCTCTGTAAACCCGAGTCCACTGGACTCCATCTACTTGTACCCCAAAGGCTACCCACAGGGGTCCCTGTTCCTCCCAACCCCCCTTCCTCCTCTTTGAGCTTAAAAAATCTGGGTTTGAAAGGACACCAAATTATGGAGAACGTAACAGTTTTGTCCCTACTCCGAGGTGGGTGGGGGGACCATCTCCTGAGAGCTTCCTCTAACCCTTATCCACAGAGGTAGAATCATTTCATCAGTATCCTAAATGAAAGCTTCCAGTCCTTGCTGTCAACTCCTGAGAGTGTTCCTCCCACATCCAGTTCCCCTCAGCCCCTCACAAAGGGGCCGCAAAGTGCACACACAGATTATCACGGGTTGTCACCCACAGCCATGGCCCCCAGCTCACTCCTTGTCTGTGTGTGTGGTCTCCCGCACATACCCTAGCACATACACACAGGGTGGCTGGAAGCACATTTACAGAGAGAGTGTGGGGTCCCGCCTGCATCTTCCTCCTCCGGCAGGCCTGTCCCTAGGTCCCAGGTCCAATGGCCGCTCTGCAGCCAACCCTGGCTCAGTGTTTGATCTCTAGGATGGAGGGGTTGTGGTCCAGTATAGCCAGGATAATCTTGTCCATGTACTGTCTCAGTCGGAAGTTGATCTCCTCCTGTTCCTTCAGGGCTTCCATTAGCTGAAGAGAACGAGAAAGGCGGGTCAGAGGATTGGGCCCAGGCTGGGCTTCCAGGGGGCCGGTGACCAATGACAGAGGGACCCCAGATCAGCCTGAAGGTAATTTCACTGACTTGGGGAAGGGCTAAAAGCCTGGGGGAATTTTCACAAAGATTGGGAACACTGGCCAGATGTACTTATAATCATAGCTCTGAGTCTGAGGTGGAGGCAAGATTCAGGTACACGGGGTCTCAGTTTCACATTAGAAGGCAGCTGAGTATTTTTGTACTGGAGGTAGAAAAGATGGCCTATAGTGCTGGGGAGCCGGGCTCCTTTCCCACCGCTAGCCGCGTGGTTATTTCTACATGTGACAGGGAAGTGTTTATGAAGCTGTGAGCTAAGAGACCAAGTACACACGTGTGCAAAAGTCAGTGTTTAAGACACTCTGGCCACCATCGGGTTAAGTCCCAGGAGGATCTCTGACTTGAGCTCCACTCTGAGCCAGGGCTCCCGAGGAAAGAGGGCTAAGCTCCGCCCTGCGCTGCCCCCTGCTCAGCTCTGCGGTTAATGTGACAGCAGTAGGCCTGAGGAGCATGAGGGCCAGGCCTTGGCCTGCCTCAGAGAGCCTGTGTGGCCTGGGGTTCATGGTGGTGGGGGCCGGGCCAGGACCCACAGGATGGGGACCAGTCACCAATGTGAGAGTGAGCCCGAGGGAACGAAGGGACAAGGCTACCTCATCGCGAGATGCTGTGTCGATTTCTGCAGCCAGAGACTGGGCTTTGGTCTGGGTGGCAAAGAGGTTCTTCGCCTCGTAGAGGCTGAGGCTCAGGATCTGCCCGTTCAAGTCGTCGTTCTGATCCCGCAGCTTGTGATTCTCCTGTGGCAGCGGATCGGAAGCAACCTGAGCTAAGGGAAGCACTGAGCCCGCTGGGATGCACCTCTCCCTGTCTGTGTCCTCAGACCACCGTCATCCTCCCTCAGGGCATCATCGCTAGACAAGGAGGCCTACAGGTGACGTGGCCTCTGCAGGGCCACGGAGGTCAGAGAACTGAGGCATGGCCCAGAGGTGTGGCATGCCACAGTCCTCAGTCAGAAGGGGGAATTGCAGCCCTGTTTGGGAGAACCAGGCCGTCTTTCCCCTCTCGGGTCCTGTGGGGAGCAACTGCCAGCTCAGCCGGCTGTCCTGATGGGATGTCCCATCCTCACCCAGGAGAGGACAGGACTGGACCTGGCTGAGGCAAGCGCCAATCTGGATTCTCTGCGCAGGAAGGAGGGCTGGTTTCCCTTGCTCCTCCTACAGCCAGGTTCCGGAACCTGCTTAGTGGGAGCTATTTCAAGACAGCTTGCCCCGGAAGGCAGCTGATGTGGAAGGCAGCGGACACAGGTGCCCCCTCAATTCTTGCTTATCGCTCACCCCAGGGACCTGGGAGCCCCTCCTGGGTGGGTGATGGGTTAGCTGTACCGCAGGAGATGGCCACTAGAACTTCTACTGGGCAAATGCGCTCAGGTGTGACCCATGCCCAGAATCTGGCCCACAGGCCTGCCTGACTTTGGGTTTCACCCCCTTCTGGAGCCACTGCCCTTCCTGATGCCATGCTTAACCCAGGCTGCAACCACAGAGTGATGGGACACTGTGAGAAGCCGAGTCTCAGGCCTTAGGCCCTATATGCCAGAGGCCCCAACCCAGCCAAGCCTGCATCTGCAGGGTGGAGATGGCTTCCTCACCCCATCCTCACCCAGGACAGGACAGAGACCCATGAGCCCAGGAACCGTTGGCTGTAACCTGAGGTAAGCTGCTTGCCTGAGTGTGGGATGGGATGGCGGGCCCTGGCAACCAGGTTACGGAGAAGAGCAGACAGGAGAGGAGGCCGGAGGTGTGGTGCCATGCATGGCTCCCTCCCCATCACTTCTTTTGGTTTCAGTAACAAAAACTTCATTTTCTAACGGGTAATTTTTTCCTACTGCTTCGGTATTTTCCTCTCAGAAAACACAAGTCTTAGAACTGGATCACGTGGTCCTTTCTCTTCTTGTCTCCTCCCAGTTCAAATGCCCACATCCTCTGGGATCTGCAGTTGGGGTCGACGCACTCAAGCCTGAGCACAACCTTCTTTGTGGTTCTGGCCCTCTTTCGGAAAATTGGCTCTGTCTGCCCACGGTAACCACTCTGCTTCCGATCATAGCGCCGCTTTCCTTGGGCGTACAGGGAATCCTTGCCCTTCTTAGACCGGGCCACTCTGTGTCCCTCCCTATGACTTCTAAACAGAGGCCCACATGGCTGACCCAGCCGCCTCTTCAAAGCCACTGGACAGTAGCTCTAGGGCCTACCTGCTTCAGACGCTTGACCTCATGCTCAAGTTCCACCTCTCGGGCTCTGGCGTTGAACTCGCCAAGGCCAGATGAGCTGCGGCCCCGACCTGGCCGCTCACAGTCCAGCTTGTACATCTGCAGGTGTTCCAGCTCCCTCCGCAGGTCCTCGATGAGCTGCAGGGGAGAGAAGAAGCCTGTTGGCTGCAGCAAGGTCACGGAGAGAAGGCCCGGGGGTCCCGGCCCGTGACTCACCTCCTGCGTTGCCTCCCGCTCCTTCTGGAACTCCAGGCGGTTCTGCCGCAGCTTGTCCATCATGCGCTTGTAAAGGTCCATCTCATCCTTGAGTCGCAGGCTGGTGTCCTCCAGACGGTCAGACATGCGCTGCCGTTCCTAGAGTCAGGCAGACCTCATCAGGGCAAGCGTGCCCAGAGGGTCCTCAAGCTCTGGAGGACCTTGGTGTGGTAAATGGACAGGCAGAGCCACCACCTTGGGGAGTGCCCTCCCAGAACATTCTAGAAACATAGCAGGAAATGCCCTGGGCCCCAGATGTCCTTCAGTGGTGTCAGGCAGAACCCGAGAAGAAGCTGTTAGCCCAAACACCCTCTTCAAAAAAAAAAAAAAAATCCACAATGTAAGGCATTTACAATATATAATACAGATTATTTTTTCACTGTAGAAAACTTGGAAATTTTGTAAATTCAGAAATGAAATTCATTATTCACTTTCCCTCCCTTTTTAATTAATTAAAACTTTTATTTTTATCTTTAAGACAAAACTCTCATGTACCCCAGGTTAGCCTCAAGGCTCATGATGTAGCAAAGGATGGCCCTGAACTCCTGATGCGCTTGCCCCCACCGCCTGAGTGCTAGGATGGCAAGTGTGTGTCACCAGACCCTGGCACTTCTGTTTTCTCTGTGGGGAAATACTTCAGCATCCCGGAGACGACAATCGGAAGGAAGGCCTCTGACCGCCATCACCTCTACGGACTCAACACCTTGCTGGGACCTGCTGCTCACCTCATCTAGTTTCTCTGTCTGTGACTTAAGCCGAGTCACTGTGGTCCTCAGATCCGTATTTTCTTCTTCTAACTGTTGCACCCTGGGAAAGAAAAACGGCAGATCTGAGGATCTAGAGTGGAAATGACCTTACAGAGACGGCAGCCAGTCTCCGCTTCCGGAAGAGAGAAATTACCAACCGCGAGAAAGGTTAAGACGATTCAGGCCCAGCATCCTTAACCCAAAAACCCAAACTGTTCCAAAATCCAAAACTTTTTGAGCAATGACATGATGGCACAAGCCAAAATCTCCATTATCAGGGAACTGTTTCATTTGCAAAATTATTAGCCAGGAGTGATGGTTCATGTCTTTAATCCTAGCACTCTACAGAGCGAGATCCAGGACAGGCACCAAAACTACAGAGAAACCCTGTCTCAAAAAAACAAACAAACAAAAACCAACCAAAACAAAACAACATATTCATGTATATATATCTTAGAGATAGGACCCTATCTAAACATGAAATTTCCTTTCTTCCTTTTTTCTTTTCTTTTTTTCCGAGACAGGGTTTCTCTGTGTAGCCCTGGCTATTCTGGGACTCGCTCTATCGACCAAGATGACTTTGAACTCAGAGATCCGCCTGCCTCTGCCTCCCCAGTGCTAGGATTAAAGGTGTGCGTCATCATCACATCACCCCACCCCTTGGTTTCTAAAATAGCTTATAGGGCTGGTGAGATGGCTCAGTAGGTAGTGCTTGCCACAGAAGAAATCGAATCCTCAGAACTCATAAAATTAGACACAGCAGTGTGTTTTTGTAATCACAGTGTTCTGCTGCAGAGATAGGGGAACCCCCAGAAGTTGGAGGTCTAGCTGGCCTGGCAAAACCAGTAAAAGATCCTGTCTGAAACAAGGTAAAGGTGAACTCCATGCTTGCAATGTGGCACACAGGACCATGCACACACACCGTATACACATACATAATTTAAAAAGTATCTTACAGCCTGAAAATAATTACATATTTTATATATATAAAAAAAATGGGGGGAACTTGCTCTGTAGACCAGGTTATTCTCCAACTCAACAGAGATCCGCCTGCCTCAGCCTCCCGAGTGCTGGAATTAAAGGCATGTGCCACCGCCGCCCAGCGAATATGTATTTCAAAATCTAAAAATTTCTGAAATCTGGTCTCCACACGCATATACATGTGAACTCACATGTACACACACAATGAGGAAGGGTTTCCTCTAGGTGGTGGGGCAGTCTTCCTCTGTCTGGTATGCCCGGGCTTCTGTTAACATGTGCAGTTGGAGGCAGTGACCATGCTTTGCTCTCTCTTCTCCACCCCCAGGCCTGTCGGGAATCCCGAGAGCTCACTGCAGCCCTCTCTGCCTCAGAAGCAGACGGCTGTCCTGCAGTGACCCCCGTGGGGCTGCACTCAGGCGGTTTCACAGCAGGTCAGATGGCTGCAACTGTGCAGAGCCAGGTCTGATTCCTCCAGTACTTCCACCCCCGACACTGTCCCATTCTGGAGAGGTTTTTCTTGACCTTCAGGAGGCCCTAGACACCCGAAGGAGGCCTCCAGACAAGGGCCAGAGAGGAGTCTGGACCTCTGTGGTAAAGGGCATGGAGCTGGTGAGCAACTAAGGAAGAATCTGTGCCAATGGCCGGAAGTACCATGCATGCCTCCACAGGAGCAGGAAGCCCTGGAGCTGGGGAGAGTGGGACTGCTCTTATGACTGCCGCTCTTTCTATGATCCTTCCGCCTCTGCCTCTCGGTCCTAGCCACCTCTCTTCAGCCTGCAGTCACTAAAGCAGGAATACTGAAGTGAGACGGCCCTTAGGATACCAGCCCCAGAGCCAAATAGCAGCCTCCAGAGTCATGGTCCTCAACCTATGGGTCTAGACCCCTTTGGAGGTTTGCTTATTGGATATCCTGCGTATCAGATATTTATATTACCATTCATACATTAGCATAAAATGACAGTTATGAAGTAGCAGTGAAATAATTTTATGGGTGGGGGTCACCACAACATGAGGAACTGTAGTAAAGGGTCACAGCATAAGGAGCGTTGAGGACCACTGTTCTAGAATACCAGTCCAAGTTTGGCATGGGAAACTCTGTTTGGAAGGGATAGGGAGTCTCAGGCACAGGAGAGCTGGGTGGTCTCCTCACCAAACTGCACTGGGCTGGGCCTGCCTGACCCAGCCCTTGTCCAGCAACCCCTCCCTGACCCAGGTTGGGCTTAGAACCTTCTGCTTAAATACCTGGAGCCCAAGGAGAACCAGGACAGGTCATGGCCTCGTCACAGTGCACACTGTGTGGGCTGTGGGGCAGGCAGGGAGGGGGCAGTAGACAGGACCCGCAGAGCAGGACAAGCCAACGTGACCGGGGCAGTGGTGCTCTTCCCGCTCCTGGCTTGCCTGGGTTCCAGCATGGAAGGATACAGCGGGCCACAGAACCCAGGGACCTGGTTTTCTACTTCCCTAAGCCTGGGGTTCCAGGCTCCGTTTACCCACGTTCAAATGCAGGGGAGGATCTGACAGCAGAGGGCGCTCCAGGTCTAGATATCAGCCCCTGCCTTCTGCTCCACCTCTGCGGCTTCCTCCGCTCCATGACAGGGCTACAGGACCGTCCGTCCATCCTGCCTACTCCCTAACAACAGGCCTGTACAAGGCTAAAGCATCTGAAGCAGAAGTGCCAGAATGGGAGGCTCAGCTTTATTGAAAACGCCTGGGGCCAGCACTACCCACGGGCGGCCAGGGCCGAGGGGCCAGGAGGGGCCCGGGGGCAGAAGGCCTGAGGCCTACCTGGTGTTGAGCAGCTCCAGCTCAGTGCTCTTCTCCCGCTCCAGCTTGCAGTAGACCTCGCGATGCCGCCGGGCCTCCTCCTCCAGTGCCTGCTCTGCCGTGGTCTCCTGATCCTTCACCATCTCCTCCAGCTCATGCACCCTGAGGTGGGCACACACAGCTCCCGTCAGCACGCTCTCACGCACCCTCACCCCACTCAAGAAGGCCTGGACCCCGCCAAAGGCCCTCACATAGCCGCGGTGACGCGGAGGGTTTGCCAGGCCTATGGGCCCTGAGCTTGGCTGACGGGTAACTTAGGGACACTGTGACTTCTGACAAGAAGTGTGTCAACCATCCTCGAGGGAGAAGCAGATCTAGTGAGGGAGCTCCCTAGAGCAGCGAGGCCACACAGGAGACAGAAGGCAGCAGGCCCGGCCACAGTACAAGAATGGCTTCCAGACCTTACTCTCTCTTTAGGGACTTCCTACCCAGCACCTCTCCAATGACTTAGGCACATCCTGGCAAATGGCCGTAAGAAATCCAGAGCGAGGAAAAGGTCAGGCCCCTCTGGAGTCATAACCCAACCCTGACCACTGGAAGCCTGTGTCTGTCCAACTGTTCAGTCGCTCCATCAGGCTGAGCTGGGTCATACAAGAATGCCATGGGGGACCAGACCCAGACCCAGAGGAGTCTACCAAGTTTCTTGCACCTGGGGAAGCCAGCCAGCACGGGGTAGCATCCTTCCCAGTGTCCCTGTTGTCCATCCACACCATCACCTGACCATACGCAGTACCACCTGGGCCCTCCTGCCTTCCACTCCCCACCACAGGGCCTGTTCCCAGGAAGGGAGGTCAAGCTCTAGTTCTTCTGGTCCAGTGGTTCTCAACCCTCCTAATGCTGAGACCCTTTAATACAGTCCCTCATGTTGTGGTGACCCCCACTATAAAACTTATTCATTGCTACTTTAAAACTGTAACTTTGCTACTATTATGAATCACAACGTAAGTATCTGATGTGCAGGATATGTGACCCCGAAGGGGTCGAGACCTACAGGTTGAGAACTATCGCTCTAAGCAGCGAGAGTCACAGGCTCTGGGCTGTACACCCAGAACAGGATCTATCCGGTCTGGAATCAAGGCCAAGTGCCTCACTCAGAGCCAGGAAGACTGAGGCTTCTCTGCTGGCAGCGGCGACAACTTCCCCTTCCCCAGAGCAGAGCCCCGCGCCCTGACCTGTGCACCAGCTGCATATTCTCCTGCTTCAGCTTGCTCTTCAGATCCCCGCTGGTCAGGCTGTCATTCTCCAGCTCGGTTACCTTTTTTTCCAGGAAGCTCACCTGCAGCATGTGGGGTAACAGATTGGTAAAGGCTCTTGAAGCCACAGAACCGAGACTCCAGAAGAGCTCATGGCGAGGCTCTCCAACTAACTCTGCTAGAACAACAGTCATATTTGGGGAGGAAGGGGCCTATACCACTGCCCTTTCTCACCCTGAACTCCGAGGTGGGCACAGGATCCAAGGCCCCAGGGAGCAGCCTGGAGCCCCACCCCCACACATGCCAGGGACATGCACAGCGCCGCCGGGCCCACCTTCTCTGTGATGTCATTGTCACAGGAGTCGATGCTGTCTCGGAACAGGTCCTCGGTGCTGCCATTGCTGCTGCTGAAGTTACTGCTGTGCATGAGCTGCCTGTGGGGGAGGGCACCCGCCTGCCGAGTCTGCCACCGTCTGGGGCCCCCACTCAGGCTATGGGCTAGGAGAGTCTTCAGTCCCGGGGCTGCCCGGAGAAACACCCCACCTGACCTTCCCACCCCGGTGACTGTCTACGCCCCAAGCCCAGGTCCTGCACGGAAGGAAGGGAAGGCACCAACAGCCATGGGCTAGACTGTGATCCTCAGGGCGCCCTAGAAAGCCCACTAAAGCTGAAGCAGTGAGTATCTACAGATGCTGGCCCTGCTAAGTGGGAAGGAGGTGGCAAGGGCAGGAAAGGAGTTCTGACCCCCGGCTGGGGATGGCCTCACAGCGGTCTGCTGGCTTGGCTACATACAGGGCACAGGCTGATCTGGGCTGCCGCCATGGAGCCCTTGCCCCAGGACGGCAGAAGCAAGTGAAGGTAAAAAGCATTCAGCTCGTTGTCTCCCAAGGTCTTACCGTCCGAAAGCTGTGCTTGAGATCTTCCGGTTGGGGCTAGAGAGAGGGAAGACACAGTCACTGACCAGAGGGGCACTGGGTCTGAAGGGACGTCACTCATCAGCTTGGTGCCAAGATGCTGCAGGGGGAAACACCCAGTCCTCGGACACCCGGACACCCACACACAGCCTCTCTGGGCTGCGGCCTCACCTGTTGGCCTTCAGGTTTTTCAGCCTGGCCTCCAGGTCGTTCAGCAGGTTGATCTTCTTGCAGCATTGGGAGCAGTACACATCCAGCAGCTCACTGTTGTAGACATGCCGCATCTTCCTTGGGGTCTGCCCCGCACTGGGCCAGAGGAGGAGAGGGTGTCACTCTACGCTGCTGGCGGGCTTGCCCTGCCCACCCTACTGAGCTTGCTCTACCTAGTTCCCCAAGGCTTTTATTTCTGCTTTGGGACAGAGGAATGGAAATAAACCAGAGCATCCCTTCCCCATGGTTGTCAAAGGAAGCTAGGGAAATGATCCCAAGTAACAGACGAGGCAGACCGAGAGCTAATGTCACAGGGAGGAATGACTCAGGCAGGTTAGAAGGGGCCACTTTAGGAAGGAAACTCTGGGAAGCACGATGACAGACACCCACCATGACAGACACCCTCCATGACAGACACCCACCATGGGTCTGCAGACTCACAGACCAGTTAACTGTTTCCTCCCCAAGATAAAAGGACAAACCTGACCCCCAATCAGGAGAGGAGGAGGCACCCCACATGCTAGCAGAGCCATGTAGCCCCGGACAGAGGGAAGGACGGACTTTGCCTGTCTGACCCACTGGGATGAGGCTAGACTGTTTCTGCCATTTTCCCTGGACTCCAAATACCACCTCGGAGCAAAGGAGGCCACCTGGAAGACACTGACGATCCTAGATCTGAGTAGACATTGGTTCGGGTCTCATCATCAGGGCAGGGGCTGCTGGGGGCACAGTCCACGTCATCCCCCTCTCCATAGTCTTCAAATTGCTCCTCGTTGCTGATGAGAGAGGCGGTGGAGTGAGTGGAAAGGTCTGATGTGGTCATAGATGGAGTGAGGACCAGGGACCTGAGGGTAAGCACCCAGTTAGTGAAGGGCAGAGGGCCCGACCTACAGTTCCTGAGGGAAACCAGCCTGGCCCCTACAGCAGGAACCTGGCCAAGTCTAGACCTTTTGATTTGGGGGACCTCATCCTAAGGGGAACATCCTGCATAGAAATTTCCGCCATAGAAAACAACAAAACCTTGGCTACTACGATGGTTAAGCAACAGATAGATTAATATTACACTGTAATTATAGTTACTATATTAGAATATGTACCAGTTGATTCAAATTATTAAATTACGGAGTATCGATGCCGGTTGAAAGGCTTATACAAATACTGGCAAGAAGGCAGAGAAATAAGTATCAATGATAAGTTAGATACAAACTTGGAGACTTAGCAACTAATAAACTTTATTTATTTGGGTTTTTTCAAGAAAGGGTTTCTCTGCGTAGTTTTGGAGTCTTTCCTGGAACTCACTCTGTAGCCCAGGCTGGCCTCGAACTCACAGAGATTCACCTGCCTCTGCCTCCTGAGTGCTGTTGGGATTAAAGGCATGTGTCGCCACCGCCCAGCTTAAACTTTTTTATTTTGAGACAAGGTCTTACTATGTTGGCAGTGATGGTGCAAGCCTTTAATTCTAGCACTCAGGAGACAGAAGCAAGTAGATCTTTATAAATTTAAGACCAGACTGGCCTACATAGAGCATTCTAGGCCAGCCAGGGTTATACAGCAAGACACTGTCTTTAAAAAAGGAAAGAAGAATAAAAATACAAACAGTCACATGGTAACAGGGCTTGGGTTAAGGGCCTTGGTTATTTTCTCCCATTCTCACTTTTTCCAGCTTTTAATTATCGCTTAAAAAATTATTACTATTATTAGTATGTGTGTGTATGTGTGCACATAGGCATACCCATGCAACAGTCCATGTGTGGAGTCAGGGGACAGCAGTCTGTTTTGTTGATTCTGCTGCATCCTCCAGGCCAATTCGCCTGCTCGATGCTCCTGTCTCTCTGTAGGAGTGCTGGGTTTACAGATGCTCACCACTGCATCCAGCTTTGTACGTGAGTTCTGTACTCTGGTCATCTGGCAGCACCTTTACCCACTGAGCCAGCTCTCTGGCCTCCATTATCTTACCTCATGACAAGTAACAATGAGCTACCAGGTGAGAACCAGCCTCCAATTTATAAGGAGCATTTCTAGTCCAAAGACACTGAATTCTAAATCTGTCAAAGACCCCAGACTCTAGACCAGTGGGGTCTCAACCTTCCTAATGCTGGGATCCTTTAATATAGTTCCTCACATTGTGATCCCAACCACAGAATTATTCTCGTTACTACCTTATAACTGTAATTTTGCTACCGTTATGAATTGTAATGTAAATATCTGATATGTGATCCCCATGAAAGGGACATTTGACAACCCTGGGGTCTTGACCCACAGGTTGAGAATCACTGATCTCTGACCTCTCATGGGTAACCCATATGATATATGGAGGCCTGGTTGGGACCATCTACAACCTGAGAGGAAAGAGGGGCTCAGCTCACAGCCTTCCTGAATCTATCTTCCCACAGTCACAGCAAAATCCCTCCTCATCCACAGATCATTGCTATGAGCCACAGAAATATGAAGTAGGAATTCAGCTGATTATGACAGAGCATTTACCTGGAAAGGCCAAGGGCTTTTCCAGAGGAAGCCAAGACTCAAGGAAGTATTGGTGCTACTAGCTCTTGAACATATCAATTTGAATTTCATGTGCTCTATTATAGCTTCCCCAGTTGATTCTTTTTCCTAAGAACTAACGGTGTGGCTTGGTCATTCTTTGGGCATAGTTTTTCCCCATACAACTAAGGTATTTGGATAACAGTCACACAGACAAGGCTTCCTTTTTCCAGGCTTTTTTCTTCTTCTCTGTTTTAGCACTGGAATCATGTATCTCCTTTAGTTAGCATCCAAGGCCAGGGCCAGCTCCAGACAAAAGCATTTTATCTGAGCTATCTCTCACATATCCAAAGACAAAAAAATGGCAGATAGAACAAGCATTCCAGACCACCTGCTAGTCTCCTAAATTAAGGTAAATATCCATTTGATATTTAACATACCACCTAGGCCAGGCAGATGTTAAGTACATAACTTTTTTTCTTGTGCAAATTAAGCTCAGACCTTCCTTTCTTACACAGCCTTAGTGGTATCTCTAGATTTCCCTTCTTACATTTAGAACAAAAGAACCTTTCACATACCAGGTGCATCAAGTTATGGCTCCTAAAGAAAAATAGGTAGTTTTATTTTGCTCATGATTTATACTAACATTGTAGACTCTTAACATTTTATCTAACCACTTCTAGGAATGTAGTTTGAGCACATAAATTCCCTTTTCCTGATATACTAACCGATTTTAGCTCTTAGTTGACCCCACCTCCTTTAACCACTCCCCTTTTGGGTTGTAAAAGAAAGCCTGACAGTCACTGCCTGAGGAAAACTCTTATCTGCCTTTATGACCTTTAAGAATTTAAACCTGGGTGACTTGGCCTTGGCAGAGAATCGCTACTCTGTATGGGTCTATAACTGAAAACCTCAGTCTTGAGAGGACCGAAGAAGGACGATGAAGGAACTTAGAACGATGATGAGCACAGGAGAGCAGCTAAGTCTGAGGACGGAACTGAAGCTGTGCAGAGATTCTGACTTAGAAGAATAAAGCGGAAGTTAACTTTTTTATGAGGTTTGAGATGATTAGAAGTTGGCAATTTGCCCAGCAGTGGTGGTGCACATCTCTAACTCCAGCACTCAGGAGGCAGAGGCAGGCGTTGCGTTGAGACCAGCCTGGTCTACAGAGTGAGTTCCAGGACAGCCAGGGCTACACAGGAAAATACTGTCTTGAAAAACCAAACGAAACCAAATCAAAACCGTTGGCAGTTTTGTGTGGTTCAGCGACTGCTAGAGCTCCCGGCTTGCTCCCCCTTCCCCCCTTTTCCCCTCCCAAGGAAATCCCTTTTTACTGACACCAAACTGAACATCGGCACTGCTGCTCTACCAAAAAGCCAGGAAAATGTTCACCGTTTCCTTCTCCCAGTGCTGGGACTTGAACCTAAGGCTTTGGCTGTACAACACAATCGCTCCACAATGAGTTACAGACACGGCCCAGTCCACTCAGGCCTTACAACTGTTTTTAAAACACTTCTTCATCAACGCTGAAATATGGTCTATGGAAAGTAACTTAAATGATAAACCACACACCTCCTAGAAATCATCGCTGCTCAATTTTAAGATCATTTTCCCAGGCTGTAGTAGATTATTATTTTAAGGTGTGTAACTTTTGTTTGTGCTGTGGAATATTTGTTTAATGATGCAAAGATGTGTTGCCTTCTTTATGTTGCATTTGTTTAACTCTGTGAAGCTGTGTTCCTGTGCCTGTCTAAAACATCTGATGGTCTAATAAAGAACTGAATGGAAATAGCAAGGCAGGAGAAAGGAATAGGCAGGGCTGGCAGACAGAGAGAATAAATAGAAGGAGAAATCTGGGAGGAAAAAAGAAGGAACAAGAGAGGAAGGAACTGGACACTAGGGGCCAGCCACCCAGCCACCCGCCATGGAGTAAGAGTGAAAGTAAGATATACAGAAGTAAGAAAAGGAAAAAGCCCAGAGGCAAAAAGTAGATGAGATAATTTAAGTAAAGGAAAGCTGGCAAGAAACAAGTCAAGCTAAGGACAGGCATTTATAATAAGCCTCTATGTGTGATTTATTTGGGAGCTGGATAGTGGGCCACCCAAAGGAATAAAGAACAAAAAACAAAAACAAAAAAACAAAACCAGGCATTTCCTAAGACATCTTTTGTAATGAGCTTTTTTTTTTTTTTTTAAACACAGTGATGGAATCATATAAGTACTCTACCACTAAGCTACATCCTTGTCCTATACCTTCTTTTATTATTTATTTATTTATTTTTGGTTTTTTGAGACAGGGTTTCTCTGTGTAGCTTTGCACCTTTCCTGGAGCTCACTCTGTAGTCCAGGTTGGCCTCGAACTCACAGAGATCCACCAGCCTCTGCCTCCCAAGTGCTGGGATTAAAGATGTGTGCCACCACCGCCCGGCATGTACCTTCTTTTTAAAACTAAATGAGTTCATATATCCCACATCACTAAGCAACCATTAGAAGTAGAGTTCTGAAAGCCACAAATGTTGGTGCATGCCTTTAATTCCAGGAGACAGAGGCAGGCATATCTCTGTGAGTTCAAGGCCAGGTTGGTCTACATAGCAAGTTCTAGGTTAGTCAGGGATACATGCTGGAACACTGTTAACAATCTCCCAGACCCCACCAGAGAAAGCTGACTTTTGCACAGTGGCCTGAAATTCCAGAATCATCCCTACTATCCAGAAACCTGGGGAGGTAACATCTCGGGTGCTGATCCTGGCCCTGGGGTCACATGCCGACTCTGCTCACTCACTTGTCCTCTTGCAGGAACAGGCCCCCCAGTTCAGGCTCCTTCTCCTCGTCAGGACTCCGGACAGAGCCCTCCAGGCCCTGGCTGCTCTCCATGGGGCTGTCCATTTCTAACTCCTGGGGTCCCTCAGGCAAGGCCAGTGTCATTGCTTCCTCCTCCTCTTCCTGGAAGAAGCCGGGTTCCCTGGGGAGGAGCTCGCCATCAGCAAAGGAAGAGCTAGAGATGTCGCTGCCCTGGCAAAGACAGAAGGACAGAATGAGTGAGGTGGGCTCCTTGGAACTCAGCACTCCTCAGTCGATAAGGATATCTGCAGGGACTGGGGTTCGGGATGGCCAAGAATTAGAAACTCCGGATATGAGGATATCTGTCTGGTTAGCCGTGAGGGCCTCTCATGGTAGCTGACTCATGAGGGCCCAGTGAGGAGCTTGTCTCCCAGGTAGAGCCATCCTGAGAAGGGCCAACCTTTTGAGGACCAGTGGCAATGTTGGGGCCCTCATCACAGTCTGCACAGGAAGCCACACACCTTTGTGAAGGCTTCTGGTGATCTGCACTGAGGGTGGACCCACCCTAGTCAGCTGACAGGGGCAACCCTGACCTCACAGGAGGAACATGAGGCAAGATGCTGCAGGGAAATCTGCAGCTAGGGTGCACTCTCCAAGACCCTGCACTGCCCTAGAACCTCAGCGCCCTCTTCTGAAAATCAAGAGCGGCCATGGGCCAGGCCTGATGGTGCACGCCTTCAATCCCAGGTCAGAAAGATCTCATCTCTGTGAGTTTGAGGTCAGCCTGCTCTACAAGGGAGTTGCAGGCCGGCCAAAGCTACACAGTGAGTGTAGAGTAAAAAGTCTGAGCTCACTTTGGGGTTTGAAATCCCACCCATCCCTGAGCTCCCCACCCTGGAAAACTCCAGCCCCAAGAAACCCCGTATAAGCCTGCTTCTCAGATCTCTGCTGCTTCTCCCCTGAACAGAGGCAGCCACTGTCTTTCCCAATAAATCTCTTGCGTGAGGTTTGTTGAGCCGTGTGACTTTGTGGTATTCCTTGGCTCCCGACTGCCAAGAAACCTTTCCCTTCAGAGCTATAACACTTCCACTGGGGAGACCTTCCCCCCTCAGAGGTTTAACACTTACAGTGAGGCCCTGTCTCAAAAAATAAACCAAAGAATGGCAATGGGCCCTTATAGGACCTTTGTGTCCACTGAGTATTTCCTGCTTGCCCGTGGCACACAGTAGTCACACACAGTAGGCATACACAGTAGGCACACACAGTAGGCACTCCCAGCACTCAGAAGGATTGCTGCAAGTTTGAAGTTAGCACAATTTACATAGTGAGTTCTAGACCAGACAGGACTCTGCAGTGATATCCTGTCTCACAAGAAAGAAAATAAGAATTACTATTTTTTTGACAGAAGTCATGTTGTCAGCAGTTGTATAGCAGTTTCCTCAAAATTGAAACACTCCATCTCCCAGGTAACCTCTTTAGGCCAGAAAGCAAACAACTCAAAACAGTTTCAGGAACTCCCTGAAACCGACCAGATTCTCTAGGCCCCTCCCTCCCAAGACAACCGGCTGAGAGTCACTCAGACAAGCCAAGCTCAAACACGCACAGACCAGTTAAGCAGCCTCTAAGAGACAGACCATGGACCTGCCTGGAAGAGGCGAGGCCAACCAAGGTGCCTGGAAAGGCCGCTGTCCAACCTCCTGGGCTGCCTGTGGGCTGTGCAGTGTGCTCCAGGGTCCCAGATTTGGGGGGTAGACTTGTGGTGATATTTCCGTAAGAAACCCCAATAAAACCCATCGGTTCAGGAGATGCCCTTTGTTGGTCCATACTCTGGCCTGTCGTGGGCGTCCTATCTAGAGTAAATAGACAGAAGTCTGTCACACAACACCAGCCAGGACCTCTCATGTCTGGGCTTGAGTCAGACAGTCCAATGCCCAGACTACACCTTATATGCTGTTGGTGTACAAGATTTGTCTGTGGCCCTTGCCGACAACATCTTATACAAGAGTTCAGGCTTAGCTTATTTACCTTAACTGGAGGAGTAGGCACAGGAAACCACTTCCTGGCTTTTGAGGAGGTGGGCACTCCCAACGGCTCTGCTTCTACATGTCCTAGGGTATGATCCATGTCTAGGGCTGCCTGAGAACTCTACTAAAAATGTTTCCCGGGCTGGAGAGATGGCTCAGAGGTTAAGAGCACTGGCTGCTTTTTCAGAAGTCCTGAGTTCAATTCCCAGCAATCACATGATAGCTCACAAACATCTGTAATGAGATCTAGTGCCCTCTTCTGGTGTGCAGACATACATGCAGGCAGAACACTGTGTACATAATAAATAAAAAATGATTTAAAAAAATGTTTCCCTCATATCCCAGGGCTGCCAGGGGGCCAGAAGCATAGCCCTGAAGAATGTCCACAAGAAAAGGTTCCAAGACACCAGAGGAAGATACTTGGAGACAGGCTGAGCTTATGCCCTGAGGAGACCTGGGGGCTATGAAGAGAGGGTGATTAACAAAGTTGGTTCCTACCTGTGCCAAAACTCAGCTGACACAGACGGTCCAACGAAGTCAGCACCAGGCAGTCCCACGGGCAGAGATCAAGGGATGAACAATCGAAGTCATCCCAGTGTTCATGGGGTCTTCCGCACCAACGCATTACTATTCCATCACACGGGGCTCCTAACTCATCAAACCTCTCTCTCAGCACGCACAAAGCTCACCCCCAAACAGCGGAGACCAATGCAATAGAACAGCCTCAGGTGTACCAGAGACGGGTAGAGTTTGCAATGTCCTACTTTTGTTTGGGGACAACTCTCCAGGACGGCTGTCTTTACTCCCATTTTACTGATGGGGAAATGGGAGTTCAAAGAGTCACCACCAGAGTTCTCTGTCTGGTAGGATGGGCAGAGGGCCCTGGCTGCTTCTGGCTGCCATGTACTCGGTTTCCTTTATCACTGCTATCTTCACACTTACTGGTTTTCAGATTTGGGTGCGACAAGGTGGTGAGTCACTCTCTAGGGACTAGATGCTAGTGATAATGCCCCCTCCTGATGCAACATTCCACGTGCACCCTGCCACCCCATGGGAGATGCTGCTTAGCACGGACACCCAAGGGGTGAGTGAGGAGGTGGCCCATCCCTCGAGGGAGCAGTGTGAGTACTCTATGCCTTTCCCCACTATGACGACCTGCAAACTTCACCTGACAGGCAGGCAAGGTGAGCACGGGACAAGCTGCCAGGAGTGCCACCATATGCTTGTCTGGCTACAGGCGTGAGCTGCCGCTGACCTTCACCTAGCCCCAGGACCTCACCTCCTTTCACCCTTTCTAGCTGACAGGCCTTACCTGGGAGTCAGGGTGCCCTGTTTCACTAAAACTAAATAGGACACCAGTGCTCACCCAGCACCCCACGAACCACACAAGCTCCTGACAGGGTGGGAAAAATGGTCTCAAGGGGACTATCTCCATCACAGGACAGAAGAAAGGCCCTAGACACCCCTCCTCCTAGGCAGACTTTTGAGCAGAGCACACATCTGCCTCCTCCCGCACCCCCCCCCCCCGTCATCTTTCACTGAGCGCTGTCCATCTCTCACAGCAGCCCGTGAGAGTGCCATGAGGTGTACAGGGCACAGATGCCCATTCCTGTCACATCTAATGCCTGAGAGAGATGAGGTTCAAAGCAGGCCAGGGGATGCTGAAGCCGCCGGGCTCACAAAAGGCTCTGCTAAGATCCGAAGCCAGACTCTGCTGCGCCAAGTCTGGAGCGCCATGTGCCTCCTAGCGCCATCCACAGGTGTATGCCCACACACTCGCTCAACAGCGTTTTATTTTAAAATTAACTTCTCTCTCTATTAACACCTTTTCATTCAACCCACAATTGTCTGCCTAAGGCAAGTGGAAATTTTAATTATAACTTCAAAACCGATTCCTGCAGCTTCCCCCCAATTCAAGTAATAGAAAGACAGCAAGAAGCAAGCAGGCAGGACGGGACTGGCCCGCGTCTGTCCCCACGCGGCGGCGTCGGTCCCCACGCAGCCCGGCTCACCCTGCAGTCCAGGCCCCCGAGCCGGGTCAGGAAGTGCTGGGTCAGCAGCTCCCTCCCCAAACACCTCAGAAGGGGAAGCAGCAGTTCTGGGAGGCACAGAGAGGCCTCTGACCCCCAACCTGTGCCCTCCGCTCAGGCAGGGACAACAAGTCACACAGGACCCTCTCCTGAGCCAGCAACGCTCCTTTACGATGATGCAGAGTGAAGGGAAGCTCTCCTAGGAATGTCATCACCCTGACGGGGTTCTCGGCTGACTGGGGGTGTGGGCTTGCAGAAGCTCTGAGCCACCCTCCAGCTATGCCTACTCAGGCCGGGACCCAGAAGAGAACCTGCTTCGTGTGGCTCCGGCAGAGGCCGCCTTGCTGTGCACTGGAGAGCTTTGGGGACCGTGTAGGAGCTGAGGATGAATTGCCTGGGGATGCCACGTAGATTCTACTCAGGCTGATGCAAGATGCGGGCCTCCATCCCGCCCTGCCCCATCCCGCCCTGTGGTCAGAGGCTCCCCCAAAAGTGCTATACGTGGGGAGATGGGAGACAACTGTCATCAGCCCACCTGATCAGCACACTGGTTGGAGACCCAGAAAGAATACACCTACACCCTGCATCTCTCAGGGTGCCCAGGACCCGCCCAGAGGGCTGGCAGGGCAGGGAATGGGTATCCCAGGAGACTGAGTTTCCAATGAGAAATGTCACTGCCCAGAGTAAGCTTCTGAGATTCTAGTCCCCAGATCTCTCCTTTCTTGTCCTGATCACCAATGGGGGGGGGGGGGGGGAGGGGGGGGGGAGGGTGACTACACAGGAGCATCCAGTCATCACGCAGTGGCCTGGGCATCCAGTACAAGTCCACGCCTGGGGCTATGGAGGCCTCCTCAGAGTCTGTATAGAAAGGCTATGTCTGGTCTTTAGGAAGCTTCAGGAGGGCAGTGTCCTCAGGAGGCAGTGTGGCTCTGTCTGGCCCAATCTAGCTCCCTAGGGCTCTGTCCCTGAGGACCAAGAGGTGACCCTAAGCAGAGCTCTTGTCCTAGGCCACAGGGACAACACCCCCATTAGACACCATGGCGTGCTTGTGTCAATCAAAACTATCTCAGGGACACCTTCTTTCCCAGCCTTGAGGTCACAGGGGTGGTGGGAGGTCAAGTTCATGCAGTATGCCGCTGTTAGCCCTGGGGAACCTGTGTGGCTGGGACTGGTGGAG